CCTCGTTATCACACTGGAAAATAATACCCAGATGATAGAGTGGCTCAGCGATGTCATACTCTTCTTTAACCTTAGTTTAGAAAATATTTTATGAAGTGTAATGGTCAAACTTTTAAGCCAAATTTTAAGCAGAAGTGTGCTCCCTGGTACAGGTAGCTGTACTTCCCTATCTCATCAGATCGGATATTTAATAGAGTGGAGATGGAAGAGAATAAGGGGAATAAATCAATACATTTTCCACCCTAGCAGCTACTGTGCATATCTCCCTGGACTCTTGTCCAAGGGGGAGTAAGATTTTATTTTCTTAAATCAGTACACAGGAAAGGAAACAGTCGGAGGCTAGTGACAGGGATCGGTAGGGGAATCTGGGCCCAGGTGAAGTTCATTATAACTCTCTTGCTGCCTTTGTGTTTCGGTAGCAGGACTTAGGTAGCTGCAAACAAGAGTTATTTATGCTCCATTCTCCCAGCAGGACCTATGCACAAACAGGCTGTTTGGTCAGCATTCTATTCCAAGAAGAAGAAGAAAAAAATACAAAAAAATAAGAAGTCAGACTCCATTTGCCTTTCTGATGTCTTTTTTTTCTCTAGGTTTCTTAGGGATAAACCTTTAGAATGAAAGGCCAGTGGAGAAGCTAACTTTACCTCATGATGTGGCTAATTTATGAGAAGCTCAGGGGCTTGATCACTGCCATCTATTTCTGGCTCTCTGATGTAGCAGACAGATGAAGTGCACTTATAGCTGACAGATGTGGAAATCCATATATAGCCAGACAAATCTCTAGTGGCTACTGATGCAAAATAATATGAGTTGTTTCCGAAAAGGTCAGTTGAAATTTGCATTTGAATTTTTCTTCCTGGGGTGCTTTTAATGATAGGATCAGGTCCGCAGGCTCCCGCAGTAAAATGTGCCCTCCAAATTTGTCCATTACACGAAGGCAAAATCTGGGTTGAGGAAATGCTAAAGAAAAGAATGTGCTCTGAATACTTACTACATGCACAAAGAGAGGCTGTAAGATAACTGAATGAGAATTGTGACATTAATCTGCCCTTGCAATTACTCTGTTAATTGGCAACTCGATTATCAAAATTAGAGTTCATTAAAGGTAAAATGTTTCTTCTGTAAATTTCATCTTCTGTACAAGATAATACAAAATATGATGCTCAGTGGGAAGACTATTTTATCCATTTGGTTCTTTTTATGGCTCACATTTCTGAATGCTAAATTGTGATTATCTGTCTGATTCATTCTTTTTAAAGAACTCATCATCCCTATTGTTTTTATTTATATAAAGCTAGATTGCTTTCATAAACTCTCTAATCCCAACTCTCTGCACTGTACAGTGTGTGAGGACTCTTAATTGCATTCACATTTTTCACTTTTTATTGCAAAGTAAAACAAAAATTCAAGATTATTAAAAGCCCATTTAGATCTATACACCATTCCGTTATATACTCAATTTAATAATATTTTAATTAGTCATTTCAATGGCTTGACTCTAAAATTAAAGAAGTGTTGATTGTATAAAAATAAAGGTGTTATTGGATATTATAACTTAGCTTGAGTCAATTTGTTTTGCTTGTAGGGGGTCCTCATTGTGAAACATACGGGATTTTGTACAGTAGAGAGTACATGGTTTTTTTTTCTTTTGTTTCCATAATTAGGATTGTTTGTTTGAATGCCATAATTTAAAAACAACAATGAGGAAAAGAGACAAGCTACTTTAATAAAATTGGTCCCTTGGCCACTGGAAGAGGTGACGCACAAAGACCATATCTCACA